AAATGATTCTCGTGATTTTTTTCTACCAACAATTCGAACAACAAAGGCAAAATAAGCCCACTATAGCCCTGTAACTAGGAAATCAACGCCCATTTTGTTCAATGAAAATGAAGCCTTTGATACTAGTGTACATACAGTGTACAGTGATCTTCCCATGCCCAACTACGAAGAAACTTTTTTCTAGCTTCGTGTAGCGAACAAGACTGTAAACAATATGCTTAACTTACCAGTGTTTTTGGGAAAACATGCCCGCCACATTTCGTTGCTATCAGTTGAAACGGTCCAAAGATGCTCGGAAGAGATGTATTAATCTCATGAGTCCGAAATATTCCCTGATCGTCGCAGAAAACAAAGGATTTTCGTCGAGAAATCATCTGGGACTTTTTCTCGTCGATCTGGGACTTTTTCGCCATTTTTTGCCAGGCCTCGCGCTATCGCGCTCGGTTCCAAGCCTCCTCTGTTCACTCGGATAGCGCGAACAGGCCTGGGTACGAGGCTGCGTTGCTCAGATTTCAATCAACAACGGCCCCCACTAACAGAGGGTGGTCTGCCTGTGGTGACAGGCATCAGATTTACAGACAAGCACCGCTAGAAGTCTAGGCACTAGGCTAGTCACCAGTTTTTCTACAGGTTTGAGTCGTAGTCCAAAAACGCCTGGCAAATGTGTTTTAGGCATGAGAAAATCTTTAGTAACTCTTCGGTTTGCCCTCTATGGCTGCAAAAACAGGCCTTTCTTTTATATCGTGGCTACCAACAGATATAAACCTCGAAACAGAGGCTATCTAGAGCAGGTATAGTAATGCTCAAAACGAGAATTAATACTGAGGGTTCAACTATGTTCGGCGTTCATTCGCTCATTATAATTTGTTAACGAAGCTTAATTCTTCCATTAATTATAGGTTGGGACATTTGATCCGGCGCCAAACACCAGGAATGAGAAGCTGGCAAGTTTAAATATGGATAGGATAAGGTTAGTAGTTTGAGATTAAGTTATTGTTAAGTTGTTTTGTACCCTATGAAACGCCACAGTGCCAGGTACTTTATACTTTTTGTATGAAGAATATTAATGAACCGGTCAGTGTAAAACGCAGACTGCGGACTGCAGACTGCAGACTGCGGACCAGGGGTAAAATGCAGACTGAGTGTAAAATGCAGACTGCAGACTGAGAGTAAAATGTAGACTGGGGTAAAATGCAGACCGAGCATAAACTGTAGTTGTGGAAAGGTTTAAGGGTCAAAAAATCCCGCAAATACATGTAAACGAACACTTACTTGAAGACATCTGCTTTCACAAATCCATTCAGGACTTTCTTCTCTAGAACGTTGTCGACGACCCAAAAACATATAATCGCAATCTTGAACCTTTTTTCCGTCCGAGAGACCTCACGCTTCAAGTTTAGACGCGAAGTTTTCGATATACGTGACCAGGGATGTTTACGCTTAAATGGAAGCTGCTGACCCAAAATACTGTACAGGAGGAATTATGGCGATAGAAAGGGAGTAAATCATCCCAACAACAAAGAAAGATGTTCTGCAGGAAATTTGGATGACCTTCTATGAAAGTATTGCAAATCAAGGTACGCAGACTTAACCTGTTCGGATGTTCATTGAAACTTCTGGCGAATATGCAATCCACTTCAACTAGGAAGCGAAGTGTGTAACTGATACCGGCTAGCTATTTCACCGATTTGGAGAAGAAGGAGCACAAATGTTTAAAAAAGTCTACAGTCTTTATTCTGCATTTTACCCCAGCCTGCGTTTTACTCTCAGTCTGCAGTCTGCATTTTACACTCGGTCTGCATTTTACCCCTGGTCCGCAGTCTGCGTTTTACACTGACCGATTAATGAACGTCTGCATGCGTTTTCCATACAAACATTTTTTTCTGTTTCTTTTTTTTCTTTGTACTTAAATCAATCTAGATACTGGTTGTCAGTTGGAGCTAGGCCTTCAAGACCTGTGGCGATATTACTAGGACTGGTAAGTTAAGGTGGCCACTGATCCCGGCCCCTTCCCTCACCTCTTACTCTTTGCCAACACTACCATCACTGACCCCATTCAATCTTTATTTTAGGTAAGACCAAAGCTTGTTTTACAGCAGTTTCACTTTATCATTAGAAAAAATTAAAAAGTGGATATGTTGTAGGTGAAAATCCATGCTCAGGTTAAACCAGATAAGATTTCTTTTTTTTTTGTCTCCTGAATAGGTCAATTTTTAACATTAATTCCCTCAATTTTCCAGAAATGGAAATTTCCTTTGGCCTAAAGGTGACAAAAGTGTCATCATCTTTAACAGCTCATCGTGTGGGCTTTCTTGTATCTCTTAGGAATTGTTTTGTTTTGGAAGGCCTTCCAAAATAGTTAATTTCCCGATCGCTATTGGCGCCTTTTCGCTCACGTGTTTGTTAGCCCAAGTTACACTCTAGTATATGCGTCTACTGTCAGTGTTGCTTACTGTACTCTCGTGCTTAGGTCTGACTTATAGCGATAGTTTTAGCTTTCCCCCCCTTCCCACCCTAGTTTCGGTGGGCGGAGAGGTTATTGTTCTCATTGGGCAGCCACCCCTGGCTGTGTTTCGGGGGTTGTAGTTGTTTGATTTCAATGAACCCTCTCTCTGTGCCAAACAGTTTGTCTCCGTGTCTTTTCTGATATAGTTTAGTTACAGATTGATTTTGTAGGGAAATTACAGCAGTTGTCGTGTTAACTTGTCACAAAGAATTTCGGCAATCAATAAGATGACAAACGTGTGGCTTTAGTATTGGTGAAGTGTTGAAGTGGTTGACAGAGTAGAGTTTGCAAAACTTCCCATTAAAAATGAAAAGAAAATGGCTGCTGATTGTGAACTACTTTGATTCGGCAAAAACCCAGCATTTAAGACAGTCAAACAAATGGGAATATTAATTTTTTGAGCTAGCCAATTTCATTAATAGACCATTTGGGAGCTGCTTAGGATGAGGTGTTGGGGGAAGATTACCCCTCATAATGATAATTATCACAAAATGGAAATAAGCCTCTAAACATCACAATCTGAACCAACTTTAAAATCTCTCATTGTTTAAAACACTAGTTGAACTTTCCCACATCTCCTTTATTTTGTGGCAAGTCTAGAAACACTGAAAAAAAAAAAGCCTTCAGGTGGTATTCACATTTTGTAAGTAGAGGAAATACTGTTTCATTGTAGCTGCAAGTGCTGCATCACTGATTAGAGTATAGAGGCTAAAATACTGTCTTTAATTGTTTTATGTAGGCTGGTGTTCTTCCCCCACACCCTCATAGTTTGGTGGTTGCTGCTAGAAACCGTGCAGCTCTCGCAGCGGCAGCTGTTAATTCAGATGTTCTCACAGTAGCAGCAAAGGAAGAGGATAAAGAAGAGGTGGAGGAAAATAAAGAGAACAATGCAAATGTAAAGAGTGGAGAAAATCAGGAAAATGATGAAGACAAAAATGAAACATAACCCTCATAGCAGCCTTGGTGCTAAAGAGTAACTTAAAACGTGCTTGATGCCATAAGGCACTATTTGCATTTTGCTGAATTTTTTTTCCTTCCATGAAAAGTTGAAGAGCTACCTACAAAAGGAAATACAAATCTGGGTCGAAAGAATCGCAAGATAGTTAAGATATCAATGCCACATTATTGTAGCTGGCTAATGATGAGCAGGCAAGATAAAGAGAATCCTGTCTTCTGAGGATCCCCCCTCCCCCTTTGTTCTGCGATAAAAGGTTTTTTTTTGGCCACATAATAATTTCTTTATTAGCACAGCCTTTTTTTGACAAGATTTCTGAGTACTGGGCTCATCATTTTGTCCTCTTCTTATTGGCCCCAACTTTATCTTGGTCCATAAAAACAAATGGAAAATACTTGGCCAACATCAGCCATCTTGACCTCTTGCTTTGTCAATAATGATGTACTTGGTTTATAATACCACTATATGAAATTGTGCTGTGGAATTGTATGCTGGGTTACTAGGTGGCCAAAGCTGATCAGACAACGTGATGGAAATAATAATTTTTGTTAGGGTTGCTTGGAAAAAAGGCTCTGGGTACTTAAGCGCTTTTAGGAGGAGAATTTACCAGTTTGCAACAACTTACTTGGGGCAGCTTTATTCCAGTCACCCCTGAAGGGCCTTTTGTAGCTTGTCATTCACGTGGAATGCACTGGCAGGGTTTGTAGTCTTTTGAGCTCTTCAAATTCTATGACTTTCCATGACCTTTTCAGGTTTAGCTGTCAGTTTCAAAAATTCAAAAACTTTCCTTGTTTTAAAGCATTTTTTACCTTAAACAGTTCATCAGGCACAAACTCTGGCATCCACCAAAAACTGTGTGCTGTTTGCACTGTTTAATTACTCCTCTATATCTTACATTGTCCTTGCCTTGTCATCTGCAGTAACTAATCTATCAAACAAAACTTTAATTTTCCATGACTTTCAAGGACCGACAATTAAATTTCATGACTTTCCAGGCCTGGAAAATTAAATTCCCAAATTCCATGACTTTCCAAGTTTTCCATGACCTGTACGAACCCTGACTGGGACAAGACAAACAAACAAAATTCCCATTTTAAATGATGCAAGCCCTTTGTCTTGCCCCAGTGCATCCCTTATTCTACAGCATGGCAATTTTATAGAATGTGAATTACAAGCTGCAAAGGGTCGTAATTGTAAGTTGTAAGCAACCCACATACCAAAGTATTCCGTTCTTTGGTTATTTATTGCACTCTCTCTAAGCCAACACCTATATGATGCAATGAACATCACTGGTTGGTTGATTCCATGTCCCCAATTATGTAATACTTAGTTCTTCATTATTACAAGCCAATCACCTCCCTGAGCAGAAGAGGGCAAGGGTATCTGGCTTAATATGGGGTGTAATGATTATTAAAAAAGAAACATTTCCTGCTGTAGCAGTTTAATGTACACTGGAACACTCACTCTCATCACACATATGTCCATAAAATCAGATTATAAATTTTAAATTGTTAATTTTGTCAAAATAACAGTTAATTGTTTCATGGATTGTTCTAAAGCTTGCTTGTTTGCTTCAGCTCCCCATACAGATGTAAAAATTGACCTGTGAAACAATGAAAATGGATCTGAATCAATTGGTTGAATTGCCTGGTACATGTAAATCAGCTTACTGTATCTTCCCCTCCCTTCTTTTAGATGATCATTTAAACCAGTCAAGAGTCGAAAGCCGCAAAGTCTCCATTATTTATAATTTATGTGACTGTCATGGGTAACCTGATAAACAATACATAATTATTTCCTTGTATTGGTGATAAAATTTTGCATTATTTTAGCATTGCAAAGTTTGTGGGATTGTTGTCACTTTATATCCAACAGCCATCAATCAAAACAATAGGATTTCTTAGTTACTTGCCTTCATGAAGTGACAACTTTACTGACACACTAAGAAAACCATGAACACCCAAAACATTTGAGGAATCCAAATGTTAGTTATGTTAAGTCCAATCACAGCAAAGGTCAGGATATGCCAGCCAGCCACAAAACCACAAAACAATAATTAGACCTGTTCCAAGGTAGAGATCTCCTCCAGTTTGACTCTCGCTAGTGACCACCTTGTCTAAATGACCACTACAGCCTAGCACTTTGAGTGTTGGTTTACACAAGTTTCCACAACTAACCCTGGCTATAACTCAAGGGAACAATGGACTTGCCTTTCCTTATCTAGTTCGTCTTGATTTCCTAAATGATCTCCAGCAGAAACCACACCCTTGATTCCTCTAAGAACAGAGGCGTCTGCCTCAAGGAACTCTGACAACCAATCACAGCAACTTGTCACTACACCCTAGAAAAAAAAACAGGAAAGAGAAAGAAACCCACCTTTTTAGTTTCGAGAGGCAACCTTCTTCTTTTTCAGTGACAGTGAAGAGTTGCGACAGCACATAAAATTACAGTCAGTAAACAGTTGGGTTTACAGTGGTTAGTAACAGTTGTAGAGAAGGCGATCTATTTCTCAGAAATCACAAGGGTTTTTTTAATCACTTTATAAAGATCTAACATGACTGCCTCCTGCCAATTAACTATTAGGATTTACTTAACCTGCTATGTTGACAACAATCTTAACTACTTGTTTCAATGATTTATTTTGTCTACTTGGCCTCCTATTCTTTTGATGTAAACATCACAAAGAAAAATAAAGGTGATAACTAGATATGTGTTCATGTGACAATGGGAGAACTGGGTTCAAATCCCAGCACCAACGTCTAATGTGGGTCAAGTTTGTTGTTGGTCCTCTCCCTTGCTCTGAGAGGTTTTCTCTGGGTAGTGTATGTCCCGTTTTCTCCTCTCCTCAAAAACCAACACTTCCAAATTCCAATTTGATCTGGAATGCACGAACACGTTCAAGTGAGTTCGTAAGAACTCTTAAGTACTCTGTGGGTAAACAAATTACAAAATTACAAATTTTTGCACCCAATATCTTCTATCTTGCCATGACATACAGGAGTTTCATTAGAAGTCCAGACCCAGGTACTGGCACCAGTGTAGTCTGAGCACAGTACCTGCCTTCAAGTGGAAATAAACTGTGTACTCTCAAACTAAACTTCCACATTTCCCCTCCTTATAAACGTTGTGCACTCTTCTAATATAAACAAATTATAGTAGTGAAAACTTTGGACATTTAGAGTTCTTGTAAAAGTTCCTTCACATCGATTGACTTATTATCTTAGGCAATAAACAAAGTCTGACCTTGTTTGTTGGCAGCTCACCATCAACTAGACCTAACTGCTGTCCATACGACAGGTCTACTTTCTGTCCTTTTCCTAGTAGCTGTAGTGCTTGTTGTTTACCTAGTAACCTTACAAGGCGAGTTCCCCCACCCCACCCTGGTGTCAGGCCCATCTTCACTTGCACAAATCTGATCTCTGCACTTTTAGACATGAGACGGAAATCACAGGCTACTGCCAGCTATGATGTGAAAAAACAATAGGATAATTACTATGACTTGTAATGCCTGAGTGGCAGCTGGCACCACAGACAAAACCTAACTTCCAGTTACCGGTAAGTCTGTCTGCTAGACAGTGCCAAAATCCTTGTTCAGAGTCCCCAGCTGTGTAACAGGATTTGAATACATGCCATGATTGGCCTGTTAAAGAAGCCATTGTTTGATTGGCCAATCAGGTTAAAGGAAAATTTGAAACCCTTGTAATTTGTTGATTCCTTTGGGGTCTACAATAGGGATCTAGGTGCTGTTTTGCAGATGTTATTGCCAGGTTTAGATTACATCTGTGACGCAGCCTATGCCTGTGGGTGTAGCTGCCCAATTCGTCGGCTAATGAATCTTCCTTGGATTTTTCCTACACGATTCTCATCTTTGAAGATTGAGAGGCACCTAATCAGGATATGGCTAATCAGTGAAAATTGCGGACAAACTGATCTATGGAAATACTGTGACCCAAATACATGGGAGTTAACTGGTCTGTTTGATGGGCCCCTTCAAGGAAGGATAGATCCAGAGACTTTACTTGGAGGGATGCTACTCTCTCAAACAGATACAAAGTCTGTGTCCAAGTTAAAGAAGGCAGGGGTATCTGGGCTATTGAAGAAAGGGTGGATTGTAAATGGGGTAAGGGTAGGTGGACCACGGCACCCCGCCCCTGACTCTGTCTCTGGCATGTCTTGCATGTATGGTATTAATTTCTACACTCACCTCAGCCCCTCCGCCTAATGCTCTTCCTTCAACTGCAGCCACGCTGATAAGGGGAAGCCTTCCCAGCCGACTAAGCGTTCTTTGCATGAAGGCACACATGATGTTCCCTTCTTCCGGGGTATTGATCGCCTTAACAACACTTAAATCACCTCCCGAACAAAAATATCCTTCACTGCCACGTAAAACAAGAGCTTTGCCATCTTGCCACTGTTCAAGTTCGTCAACAGCCTCGGCTAGTTTCACCATCATATAGCCTGTCAACGCATTTTTACGCTCGGGATTCATGAGTGTTATTACTGCAATTCCTTGCTGGTTTCCCCGCAGTTTAGTTACCGTAACATCGCCGCTTCCTAGAGCTTTGAACTTGTCACGAACATGGACTTCGTCAAACGATATTAGGGTAGAGAGCGTTCTTCTGAAATCAACTAAAGCAAAACGTCCTTTTCTTACGAGGGAAAAACGCATTTTGATTTCTCCAGCTCCAGTGAACTTACTGACATGCTACTACTCAAGCTACATCAGAGAGTTCCTTTTTTTTCGGCTGGATTTTGTTGAAGTACTCGCATACGCCGCCATATTGGCCGCAGAAGCCTGGTGAAGAGTACTAACTAGCGGGAAAAAATAAAGCGCGTAAAAATGCGCGTAAACTACAGTTACGTTGGATTCTGCACTAACCTATATAAATATAAACACAAATGCAGCAAATCACTGAGAATATTGGATTATGGCCTGTGCGGTAACGCCATAACGCCACTTTATTGAAGAAAATGCAAACAACTAGTACAGAATAGAAATGAAAACGTCAAATAGAGTAAGCCGTGCCAGGGGGGCCAGAAAAAACCTAACCTAAAAAACCCCGTGGGGAAAAAGGGATAGGAAATCTGGGGCGGGCCAGGCACGACTTAAGTCCCCCGCCAAGACTACTAATAAACTAAATAATTGTAATAAACAAACGAAAACTAAATAGCAATAGTTTGAGCAACTTTTAAGCGATCACTAACGGTGTGCTTAATGTATCTGTTCTTTGAAGTGGCACATTTCCAGCCAGCATGCATATCTAGCAGATCAGCGGAAACACTCCGACAAGCAGGATTTGAGGCGGCACCAGAGTTTATACTGTGCGTGCCGTAAAGAGCAATGTCACCTACAAATGGTTTAACAAATTTCTTAAATTCGTCTCTTAGCGTTGAATATGAAACTCCTCTAGAAGCATGAAAACACTCCCTAGACTTAGTTTTAACGATTCGCCTAACGAGGGGCGAAGATGACTCACAAGTTGAAGGGAAAAGCTTAAGTAACCTTTCGGTGATAGAAACTGGGCAAGTAGCCTTATGAGACCTAGCTAGAAAGGACGTATGCCCTTCTCTATACTGATCATTTTTGCGTTTAGGAATAAAAACTGACATGTACTCGTTGAAAATAGAGACATCTCTAACTGTCAAATTGCGAATTTCGTCCATACGAAAAAACCCAGCAAAGCCAACCAAGAGGACGAAAAGAAAACGAATAACGGCAAGCGAACTACTAGAAATATAATATTCAGCGATCCTTAAAACTGTGTCAACGGATAAAGGCTCTTTGGGTTGAACAGGACGAGCAAGCTTCCTTCTTGCACCCTCCAAGGACGACTTAACAAGGGGGTGACCAGTAGGGCATTCTACAATACCGGCCAGACTATGACCCCACTTAATACCATAAACAACTGACTCTATAGGAGATATCCCCGTATTATTAGAAATAGAAACAGCAGTAAGTTCGCTGATAAAGAGAGCAATGTGCAGTGGCTTCGCTGGAATAACTGAAACGCCAATCTTAGAATCTGCCCATTCACGCCATCTGATCCAGCCAGATCTATACTTCTGCACGGTAGAGGGAGCCTTGGACTCAAACTGTAAATGGAGAAGGTCTGGAACAAGCTTGCGCAAGGATGGATCGGCCAAAGAATTCGCTTCACTCCAAATCCCGGATTGGAGAACATCTAAAAAATAAAATAAAAGTAGGCAGGAAAAGGCAAAACATTTAAAATTATAATACAGTAGAAAATATGATGCTGCATCATAATCATGCAGCACGGACAGTACTACAGCGTAAAAACGACATGTAATGAGAAACAACGACAAACGGAAGCCGAACTGGCTGGGCCCAGTAATGCTGTAAAAAACAGTAAAAAATACAACAAAATAGCAAACATTCAATAAAACAAATGTAGACCAATAAAATAAAACATAAAATAAGGCCAACTGACGGCGCCAAAACAGGCAAACTGCGTGGTGAAGCGGACATCGAACTCCGAGCCAAGAAGACGCTGCCAAATCAGGCAAAAAATACACCGCCAAATCAGGCAAAAATACGCTGCCAAAACAGGCAAAACAAAGCTGCCAAATCAGGCAAAAATACACTGCCAAAGCAGACACGATAACGGTGCCAAATCAGGCAAAAAAAATAAAATAAAATAAAATAAATAAATAATACCAAAACGAAGCTAACAAAAGATAAACCTAAAACACCGACAATAATGAGCTGTAAGGGGAGACAAAAATGGGAAAGCTCACCTAAAATCTATCCGCAAAGCTAACATTTTAAATTTCGGGCAGCCGCTGAACACCGACGGACGCGCTTTGTAAATCTGCTTCTGTCCTGGACCCTCCAGCAAGAGGTCTTCAATACAAGGAAGCTCAAACACTTCTTTAACAAAAGACTTGAACTGGGAGGCGTTGTCGTGCAAAAAAGGCCAAAAATAGGCCGAAGGCCATTGTGGAACGATCAAAGTGCCGTAACCGGAGCAGGACGAGAGAGCCCTAACTGAAGGCACAATGGCACCCACCGGAGGGCAAACCCAGTTATTCTCATGTCGCCAATCCTGAGCCAAGGCGTCCACACCGCTGCAACCTGGGGAAGCAAATTTAGAGTTGAACCTCGGAAGCTGGGCATTGTAATAGGACGAAAAGCGATCAATTGTGTGAGGGCCCCATTTAGCGTCGACAAGTCGAAATACCGAGGGATTGATGGACCAGTCGTCTTTATCAATAAATCTGCTAAGAAGATCTGCTCTTTCATTAAGAGACCTAGGGATCCACTGGGCTTCGAGAACGATGCTGTTGGCAAGACAAAGATTGAAAATATCCATAGCCAGGGCCTGGAGGTGAGATTTGGAGCTTCCGATAGCAACTATTCTGGCGGCGGCCTGATTATCAGTGAAGATTTTAACTCTCTTGTGTTTCAGTTGAGCCACGTAAGAAAGCAACACGTAAAAAATTGCTTTCAGCTCGCGAAACGTAGAGCTTTGGCCGATATCCTCGCTCTCCCACATGCCGCTAACGACGGAGCCGTCTAAAGTAGCCGAAAATCCTCCGAACGCTACGTCGCTAGCATCGGAAAATACAACGGTATGCGTAGCTAACGGTGGCCTAATAGAATAGCCGTTTAAGCAGTCGATGTTGCAATACCAAAATTTCAGTTCTTGTAAAAGGCTCGGAGGAAAATGAATTATGTCATCCCAAGCCGATCTGGTTTCAATGGCGAAGTACATTTGTCTGGTCAAAAGACGAGAAATTGGACCAACAGCTAACGCAGCTGAAATGATAGTGCCTGCTATTCTCGCTAACTCGCGAAATGAAGAGAATCCATCCTGAATCGCAGAATCTAGCAAGCCTTTAAGCTTGAGAACTTTCTTCTCGGGAATCCGGAAACACATTAAAATAGTATCAATAACGAAGCCTAGCCATTCGCCAATTTGAACTGGATCCCAGTGAGACTTTTCCTCGTTACAAAGAAGACCAGATGAAGAGAGCTCTTTACGTTGAATTAAGCTAGCTGCCACGGCAGAACATTTGTCTGGTCGACTCCCGAAACCATCGTCCAAATAAATGAAACTGTTGTGTCCCATAGAACGCCAACGCCTAACTAACGGGCGCATTAACTTGGTAAAACAAAAGCAAGCGCTACTTAACCCGAAAGGCAGTACTGTAAAGGAAAAATATCTGACGACGCCAGAAAAAGGCCACGCGAAACCAAGGTACTTTTGGTGGTCGAGACAAATATCGACATGGTGGTAACCGGACTTAAGGTCCCAAGAGAAAAACCAGTGTCCTTCATCGAGAACTTGAGAAAGCGATCGTAAGTCCTCGTACTTGAATATAGGTTTTACTAAATAATTGTTTACGTGTCTCAGATCGATAACCAGGCGAAGCTTCTTCCCAACAGCGACTGTCAAAGGATTAACACAATACGGGGGGAATTCGTGCTCAACAATGCAGCCGTTACTTAAAAGCTCGCTAATAGCATCAGCGACAAATTCCGGATGCTGAAGAGCTGATCTATTGTTCTTCAAAAAGCACTGCGAGGGGTACTCGGCAAACGGCAATCTGTAACCGCGCCTAATCATATCAAGGACAAAATCTGGTGCATCTAAAGTCTCGACCCAAAAGTTAAACGAAGATTGCAAGCGACCTTTCACGCCACTGCTTCCGCCTTTCGCACTAAACTCGTCGCCACAACAAGACAATAAATGAATTAAATCACACTCAACTTCATCACAGGTCGACGAGTCGCCATCTAGTCAATCGCGTCGAGAGCTACTCTTCGAAGAATCCGCAGGCTTCAAGCACGTGGAACTCAAATGACCAAAATCCCCGCACTGAAAAAAGGGGAACACATACAGAAAAACATGAAAATAAAATCCATAACATAAAAATAAAAGAACAGTGTTGTAGCGTGTGGCGTTGCAGACCCGAAGGAAGAACATACTGACTGACAACAACTTATATATGAAACGCAATTAACACGTATTACGTAACTACTGAACACTTCATTGAAAAACACAATGAAAAAACCAAATTCAGAACGTGCAGAAAACAAATATCTGCTAAACTTCGTACCGCAGATATTTTGATATTTCCTACACACATTTATTGGGCGCGATCCATTCAACCAAAATTTCCGGAAATTTCGGTCCAAAACTCAATGGATCGGTTCGGTCCAACCGGAAAAGTTTCGAAAAAAACTGGCCCACCTTTTGAGGTGGACCACTTTTCCCGGTCGGGTAGGTCGGAATTTGGGTTGACCCTCGGTAACTCGAACCCTCGATAACTGGAACCTCCTGCAAACTCGAAATAATTTTTGTTTTCCTTTCAGATCACTGATCTATATAATTCTACCCACGATAACTGGAACCATAACAAAAAAAACAAGAAAAAACAATCAAACAAGAATTCTTCGTGTAAATTCTTAGTTTTCTCGCTTTTTTCACTCCACTTCTAGCCTGTTCCAGGCTCTCAGATAGTGGGGAAGATAAAGACGTGAAAGTGAAAGGCACGCACTTTCTCAATTCAGCGGACCCGACTACACTCAGCTCGGAGCCAGGAACAGGCTACTCCAAGTGTCCATCTCAGTATATTAATCAAGCTCAATTCCTTTTTCAAAATATTACTTGCTGCCCTTGAAGTGAAGTATGCATGATAGTTACATTCCGTTCCCATTCCTTTGCTTATTTCCTTATTTCC